TCTCCAGACAATGCAGCACACGTTCTGAGCAATCACCACAAGTACAAGTGCATGAATGCATATGCATGCACAAACAAACACACTCACACACTTTTCCTAATAACATCATCATCTTTAGCACTGCTCCATGCACACTACTATTGAACAGGCCTGGCTGGAAACCCCCAGGTATCCTACATAGACTGCTCAATGTCATGTCCTCATGAATCTAGACACCTCCCAACTGATGCCACCCAGCATACACTGTTGTACTCATAAGACACACTGCAGGGCATCCCCCTGCTTCTCCCAGAGACTCATCCCACTATCAGGAACTGCCCATGACAGGACTTACTATCTACTGCCCCCCAGGCCTGCTTCCAACCCATCCATGTACCACTAGTTACCAGGCCCTGCTGGACACTCCTACCCCTGCCACATAGCCTGAAACACACTGCTTGGTTTCAGGCTTTGCTGGACACCTGCCTGAGGCCTGGATGCCCTACTCTGTATCTCATCCTCAGGACTCCCCAGTCCCAACCAGATATTGTGCATGATAACAGACCTCATCCAGTAAGTTTCTCTTCCTGCACCCAACCTGCTGCCACAAAAGCCCTGCTAATTTTCAGCCCTGTTTACACCCAGCCACTGTCTAGTAGTGTGTGGTGTCAACAGAATGGTGTGATTTTGGGTAAGGCTTGAAGCCAGTTATTGTATATGCATACAAAATACTTCAATACACATGACTGAAATCTGCACAGAGTTGTGTGTCTTTCATATGTCAGTTATGGGGGTGTCTAGCAGAGCCATTAATATTGCAGTGTTCATTGGATCAGTAGTATATATCAAGGGTTAAGGTGGGTGTCAACCTTCTTTGATACCTAGCATGTCATTTGTGATGGAACCTGGTGTTCAAGTGAACATGACACACAGCACTTTATTTGCAGTGTGGTTTGGACAGGGGTTAATGTGTAGCATGGCCCAGTACCTAGCAGTACAGCCTGAGACCCAGCACATTGTACAGCATAGGAAGGAGTCCAGTAGAAGCTGATGCCTAGCAGTGTGGGTGTGTCTTCCACAGAAGGATGTCCAG